TTTCGCACTGGATTGTGTTTTCTTTTGGATCAGGGGTCCAGGTCGATCGGGAAGACGTCGCGAGCAGGAAGTGTCCAGTCGCTGACTGGCAGCTGGATTGCAGGTGAACATTCCCCGTTTTCCAGCTGGCAACCCTGCCTGGAACTAGTTGGAATTCGCTCTTTCTTGTTAGAAATACAGACAGAGAGATTTGTAGGGGGGTTATGTTTGCTCCCTCGTCGTGAATACGTAGGCATGCATGTCTTATTATCCCTGATTGTATTTCCTTGCTCCATCATCATCATCATAATTATTATTATGTGTGTGGTTCGGAAAAGTGGGCTAGTTTCTTTCATTTCGCGGATGTGTGTGTGTGTGTTTTTTCCTGGGCTGCTATTTTTATTTCCATTATTACGACGTCTGACGTACTGAAAAACGTTTCCATCTTCATTTGAAAAATTCTCTGATGAAATTGGAAAGCTTTCATTTTCAGAAATCTTTATAATTCTCTTGAACAAATTGAGGTATATTTCAAAAAAATTGAGAATTAATTCCATGACAAAATTATTCTAATTCGTAATTTAAAAATCGGTTAACTTTGTGCTCATTTTAAAAGTCTTCTTGATCATCTGTGCTTAGTAAAAGCTGGACCTATTTTTCTGATGCCCTGCTTCTTCAGCTCCTTTTGATGTCAAACGATTATGTTCTGTGAAGTTTTCTTGTGTACAGTTATTTTTTGCTTCTCGAAGTTGAAAAAAAAAATTCGCAATTCCATTTATTGGGGCTTTATTCCCAATTTTCGATGAACAGGTGAACGATGTTCCCGTCGAAGTCTGCTTGGAAAACCATTATTCGACGTTTGGGCACTCAATAAATTACATCCGCATTTCGGGGCTCAAATGTACACACATTTTTTTCTCTTAAAATCTTATGGGGATTCAAAACGACGGTTATTTCATGCCAAATATTTAGCTGAAAATCGAGCGCGTTTCCATAGAGAGGAGTTAGTTATTTGCGTCTATTTTTATCCGCCTGTCCTGATTTGCCCCGTTTTTTGCGCTCTTTTTCTCTCTCTCTCTCTGCTGTGTTTCCTCCTATGTTTTTTCTATGTACTTTGCCTGTCCCTGTCTCTCTCTGTCTTTATTTCTTGTTTTTTGGACGTTATTTAGCTGCAAAGCATGGCTGCAGCAGGAGCATGGAATGGTGGAATAGTAGCATCAGGTTCTTCTAGAGGAGGGATGTCGCCGCAGGATGCACTGCTTTATGGTGTAGTCGGCGAGCATCTCCAGCAGCAGCAGCAGCAGCAGCGACGTGTCGGCAGCCTCAGTAGCCAGAACCAGTTATTGCAGGACAGGCAACACCAGAAGCACAGCAGCTTTGTTGACAGCTGGAGTAAACAAGCCCCTGACGGGTACATTACAAAGACGACCCGAAGCAGGCTGCGTGGTAAAAAAAAATATATATATAGGAAGAAAGAGAAGAAAACTGGGTTTTTAAGGGATCTCTCTTCCTCTTCCTGATGGGTTCTGATTTATGGGGCATGAGAAAGAGAGCTGAAAGTGTTTTCTTCTCTTCTTTATCCTTTGCCAGCTGAGAAAAAAATCAAACAAAACAAACAAAACAAGCAAGTTTTGGACAAGATTTAAAGTTTATTTTCCTTAGCGGACCACATAAATATGCGCTCATAAGTACTGAAAAATACCCTATTTACTCGAGCACTACGAGACGAACCTGTTTTTTTGTTAAATCTAAGAGGAAAACAGGGTGAGCAAGTCAGGAGTACATTTTTCAAAAACGTTTACAAATTTAGCTGTGCCTCATTCTTGATGGGGAACTTTAGACCAAGTTTACTATTGAAAACCTATTTTAATGAATTTTTGTTTAATTAGTTGGTCCAGTTCATGTTGAAATTAGTATTTTGGGCATTCCCGTATTTGAAATATACAAGTTTCAGTCACTGAAAATAGTGTGAGCGTAGTTGGGGATACTGTTTCATCAAAATTTGCAACCACGGAGAACCTTGATCTGCATCTTTCTCAAGTTTGCATGGTACTCGAGTAAATACAGTGCTAACTGATGTCGAAGGCGGAAAAAAAAGTAAGGCATCTTTTGGGACAATTATTGCGTTCAAGTCTCTCTATTGACTTGTAGAAGAGTAACTGCTTTTAATTGATGAAAATTAATTGTTTGATGGTGAAGAAATTAAACCCGGCTGATTTGATGTAAGACAGGTTTTATAATGCAGATGCTTGCTTTATATTTCCATTAACAAATTAAAATTTAATCATTCCAAGTATCAAAACTTGTCAATGAGAATTCCTAAAGCAAGCATCTGAGGGTTTGTCAAGTACAGTATTTTCTGGGACCTTCATTTGAATAATGTCGTACCCTGCAATCAACAGTTTTTGTCAGTTTTCACATGCTTTATAACTAACACATCAAACACAACTTTACAAAAAAAAAGTCCTTTACTCTGTAATTTTTTTTTCAGTCCTGCCACTCAACACCGAAGATTTTCTAATTTATATAATTAGAATATTTCGCATCGCTTCCACAGCGTGCAAACTTGTAAGATGCACTTTGTATCCTCGCATCTGTGTTCGAATTTATTTCCTTGAATTTAAATTTGCTTGAAGTAAAATTAATGCAGTGTTCAGAAAATGATTTCATGACTTCATAAGATACTGTGAAGAAATGACACCCATATAATCCGTACGGTGATGGATAAGTCCCCGAGGGAAGCACGAAATGCTGAACCTTTTCAATCAATCATTCACACAAAATGGTGTGAACCTGCGTCCATTTTTGGTTACTTTCTAGAGACTGAAAGTGATGAATTTAGAGCATGCTTTTGTTCTCGCCCACTTTGCTCTTGCCAAATTTTTGCCCACGGTTGTATGCGTAGTTTTGCACTCCCGAGCTCAATGTATTTTTTTCTTGATTATTATTTTTTTTCTCTCATTTAGCGTCGTTTGTATGTTTGGAATCCGTGTTGAGATATTTTTTTCCAATGTTGCTTCAGGGCTAGAAATTAATGCATCTCCATTGGGAAACGAATTCCAGAGTCGGGACTTGGGCCGGTGCCGCCGCCGAAGCCGACGCGGGTGGTGCTGGCGGCGGCGGGGACGGCGGCGGCGGCAGCAGCAGCGGCGGCCACAGCCACGCAAAGTGGCGGCCTCATGATGTCGGCGCCGGGAGCCGGAGCAGGGCGGCCGTACTTGCCTGCTAGGGACATGGCCACGTCGCCCAGGCCAGGTTACGACTTCGAACCAGGTCAGTCCTCATCAACTCCCGTCGTCTGCGTCTTTTATTTACTAGCTGTCAAATCGCTTATTCCTCCTCCTCCTTCGTCTTTTACTCTTTGTTCTTCTTCTCACCTTTATTTTTATTTATTATTCTACTTGCCTGGTGGACTAGGAGAGTCAGCAATGGACGAGTCGTCCTCACTAACTTGATGAATTTCAGAGAAGGTTTCACTAGTCATTTTCAATGTATTTTGGATTTTCCTGTCTATATATATTTATTTAATAATTATTCTCAATGCATCACTGGTACAAAATTCTTGACAAAAGGTAAATGCAGACCACTGGTACACATTTGCACAACAGTTAAGCCAGTCTGTTCACCCCTTGCAAGGGTTATCTCTGTACGGTTTTAATCAGAAAAAATTAGGAAGAATGTTCAAGCCGTACACCTTGATCAATGTTATTGATGTAGCTAATTGATTATGATTTGGAACACCTTAGAAGAAGATCAACTGACAGATGTAAACTGAAGAATTTGTAAAGAATGGAAGATTTAAGAATAAATTCAACACAGCAATTGGCCGGTGCGCGAACCGACCAGGGATTCTCTCCCAAACAGCGCAAGCCTTTGTTAGCAGATCAACAAAAATAGTACAAAGTACGAAATATGCACAACAGTTTGGACAGGAAAATATGCACAACAGGTTTTTCGCGGACTTGTAAATTTTTAGCAAATACAAGTTTCGAGAACACAATGTAACGCTTCGCACGCAAAATTCGGACTGTGTGTTGGGCCCAAAAATCAGGGGTTTTTATTCTGAAAAAATGGGGAGGAGTTAAAAGTACCTGCAGGACGTCCCAGGAGCTGGGTTCTGGGGTGGCAAAAAACACCAGGTGCTGGTGTTTTTCGAGAAACTCAAACTTGTTTTGGAAAAAATGAGGCTCCCAAAAACCGGGTGTTTTCTCAATTTGGCGGGATTGTCAGAGTGCTGCGCATGTTTGGGGAGACGGGGACAAATTGTTTAAGAACCAGAGAAGATGTTTTTCTTGGTTGTAAAAAAGAAAACGAAAAATGATCTTGGAGTGTCAAACAACCAGCAGCTGGCAAAGTCTGGTCTCCCCCCTTTTAGGGTAGTTGAACTTCTGGGGAATCTGCGGGAACAAGGGGTCATTTGACCCCCTAGCTGGAGTCATTGGCCCAGAGGTGGGTTTGTATTTTTATTGTCGGCAGTTTCTGCCGAATTGTAAAGTTTCAAACCTTTGGGACCCTGTCAAAGGGATATCTTGCAGCTGGAGACGCGTCCCGAGACGCGTCAATCGTGCAAAAAAACTCTGGATCTGTTTTCTTCAGAAAAAATTCCGCACACTTAGAATGCATTTGCAATATAGGATAGCTTACTCAATTAGATGAATATTACCCCCTTCCTTCACTTCCGATTGCATCTCCAAGGGATGAAAGAAATTGAGCCATTATTCCCCATGCAGGAAGAGACTTAGCACCACAATTTTCCTCTTCAATTTTTTTTTACTTGGATGCGAAGGGCACTGGTCTTGGGAATTTCTGTCTGAAATGTATCCCCAAGTACCACGCGCACCCTATTTTTCTGCCTAAATTTTTAGAAAAAAGGTGCACATGGTACTTGAGTAAATACCGTAAAACATCAACTAAAAATTGGGAAAATGAGACTCAACTTAGGGACATTTTGACTTTGGGACACTCTTGACGCACCAATTACGTCCGCATCTCGGGGCCTCACGGCAAAAAAAAAATTTATTTCGTTTTCAACACACCGTAATTAAATCTCCCTGGTGGAATGGCAACTCGGCAGAGAAATCCACATTGGGTGACTGTGTAGCCGGGTCGTAGTCATAAGTGGCAATGAACAGTCTACGTTGAGTAGTCCGCCTCAAATCCGCCACATTCTCGGTGGAAACGGCGGCACTGGCGGCGCCGTTGTCAGGCGAACCAAATGCGGCGGCGGCTGATGGCGAGGAAGAGGCGCCGCTGCTGGAAGACGATTTCTGGCCCGGTGCTGATTGCGGAGGAAGGTTATTGGCTTCGAATATCTACGAAAAAAAAGGAGAAGGAGAAGAAAATGCGTTTATCCAATCATGAATCGATTGATCGATCAATCGATTGCGGAATGGTTTATGCGAGGGCACGGGAAGATGGGCCATAGTCGTTAGACAGTCAAAGGAGCAAATGAGGAATATGAGCACCAACTAACTTGCTTTGATAAGTCGTTCTTTTAAGTCAGCAAGAGACTAATAGGCCCAATTGTGTATTGTTAAAATCGGTATGTCAATAATTAAACTGTATTTCTAAATATTCTTCAATCGGAAACCAAACAACCAAATTTATCAACTTGAATCATTCAAAAATGTCCCTTCTTAGAAACTCAATTTTCTAAAGACTTTATTGTCACATTTTCAGCCTGAGAGATGAAGAGTTATCATTCTTTAAAAATTATATATGCCTGAAAATTTTCCTTCCTATTCAAAAGGTATATCGTAAAAAAAAATTATGAATGGTTCTCGCACAAAAAATCCAAAAAAATATCCAAATAGCAAGAGAATGCAGTGGGTTCTTCATAAAAAAATTCTTTTAAAGATTTGCGATTTTCGCGTTTCCCCAAATAATAATGTATCAAACAGTGAACCATGAGCATATCCAAAAATGCAGAGAATCGGTATTTTTTTTGGAAAATGAATTCAACTGGAAGATTTTTCAAAACAATAAATCTCTGGGAATCTGCAAACGAATACCAACGGTTTTTGTTTTTGGCGTGCGAATATTTGAAAACTGATATTTTTCATGACTCACCATCAGCTGCTTTCACGAAAAATAATTTTAAAACATTTTTTTGTGAAATTCATTTCAGGAAAACTATTTTTTTCTTCAAGCATGTTTCTACATTTCGAGGGGTTCAAAAAAATGATTTTGTGATAATTTAGAGAACGTGGCTGAGAACTACTGAAATGTTGATCAAGTTGAGGACTGGACGCTTTCAACGCTTTCAAAATTGAAGGATGATTTTTTTTTACAATTGAAATGCGGGGATTCTGACACGGTTAACATACTGTACTTGTAAAACACATTCCATTCGAACACTCTCTCGAATAATAAACAAAATTACGCTCGGAAATTAGGTTCTTTGTGAAAAAAAAAACACTAGTGGTCATTTCGTGGTTATTTCAACATCCTGTTTTTCCGCAGAATGGATGCCTACCTCGTTTCGTTGTTGACTGACAATCGGATCCATTGAAGGCGATGAAGAGCACGAACTCGACAAAGATTCTTCCGGCTCTTCAGCTATGTCAGAAAGTTCGGATCTTTCCGTCATGTCACCCAAAGACTGGTCCAAACCACCCTTGCGAAACGGATGCGAAGAATTTTATACAACACGAAAGCGACATCTATGCGTGAAGTCTCGAAACTATCTCTCACGTAGTTCCAAGAGTCTCGCATAGGAGTAGATCAACGGTCTCGAATTCGAGCGGTTCGGAATGAACTCTATTTTTAAATTGATGAATAAAAATATAAAATGGTTTCGAACGCAGTGTCTGTTACAATTTGATGCTTTTTCGCGTGTTAAAACCCCTGAACGAAATTGTTTATCAAAATAAATCGCATTCTGGTCCCTGGGAGAAGAACTGACCTTTGAAGAACCGGAATTAGCGATTCGTAGACGTCCGTTGGCAGTGACAGAAGCAGCAAGAACTAAAGGCAAAGTCAACAGAGCTGGGACAGAGTCTCCAGATAATCCTTCCTTAGACTTTGTCTTGACTGTGACCTGCTTGGGTGCATTTGGCGATGAAACGTTGACATCACGCATCAGCAAGCTCAGGTCAATGACAGCATGGTCACCTGATCAAAACAAAATGGAGTTTCTGATTGCAGTTGAACCTCTTACAAGTTAAACTCTGAACGACCAAAAATGTTTTCAACTTGAATAATTTCAAGTTGAAATCTGGGAAACCAGCATTTTCCCCTAAAATATCAAGAATTACAAGAAAATAAAATTGGTGATAAACTTGACTAAACAATATTTAAAAAATACTATGTAACTTATTGGAGGCAGTGGTAAAATTTTCAAATTAGCCTCTCACTTTTTCTCAATCATCAAGTTAAATTTCAAAGCTTTTTTTTCTTTCCTGGATCCCCAGAATCATAGTCCAAAGGCTTCCAGGCAGAAATTTGAGTTATAGTGGTTCAAGTGGGGGTAGCCTTTGGATGAAGGAGGGTTAATATAATAGACTAATCTTATGGAACTTTAGACAGAAGCTGATAATTATGACACAATTTTGTTCTCAACTTAGGGAGGTTAAACTCATTGAGATCCAACTGCATAAATAAACCCTCTGGATCACTGTGTCTTTGTTCAAAAGGTGAAGCAGGCCTCTCAAAGACCAAACATTGTATTTGAAACATTGTAGAAATCTGCATAATTGAGAAAAAATAGGGTTTAAATGTAAAGAACATTGCCAACTCTTGGTTTGAAATTGACTTCAGGTATTCTTTTAATTTTATCATTTTGTCAGAAAATGTTAATCCCTTGGGAGAGCCATTAGAAGGCAGTCTAAATCGTGAGATGCTTCAAAAATGTGCACAGAAAAGCACAAAAGGAATGTACATCCAGTTTTATCCGTTTTTGGCAGCGTGATAAATTCACACTCAAATGCCACATTGAAATTACAGTACTGAACATGCATGACCATATAGAAGCATGAAAAAAAAGACTTTCAATTGTGTTCACTAGTTGTGAATTGGTAACACACATGTTACAAATGAATAAGCGTTTATGAAGTGCTTGTCTGAGCCATTTTGACTTTGATTCATTTTGTCATGCGCATTCTGACAGCCCATAGCCCAATAAAAATCAAATGCACATTATTTTATCATTTCTGAGGGAAAAAAGTTATGAAATCATGGTTAATTTTTGGGATAAAGCTTGAACATTCAATTAGATGCCTGGATGAGTCTTACAACTCACTCAATAACCAGGTTTTACTTTCAGGAAAAATAAACACTGTAAGGCTGATAACTGGAAAGAAAAGAAACTCAGAAAGATGGGTTTCAATTTAGTTACAAACCAGTGGGACTTCCAACATCGCAGACTTTCTGGCCATCAAGAAACACAGCATAGCCAGTGACAGGGGCACCGTTTGAAGTCCCTGAATTGATGATGGTGACAGGAAGCCAAGTCACGAGCAAAGTGCCATCTTGTGGACCTGGTTCGACTTGCACGTTAACTGGTGGATCCGGCAATCCAGCTAAATGGAAAAGGTAAAATGTCATGACACAGATGTCGCCCTTTCAAAACCTAAAGCGCATTGTGGGGAGTTGACAGTGATGATATACAGGGTGGGCCAAAAAAAAGTGAACCGATTTTTTACTTGGAAAAAGCTTTCATTTGGTGCTTTTTTCATTGCCACAGCTTAATTTGCTAGTAACCTATTTCAAGCCAATAATTTGTTCACTCTTTTTTTTGCCCTCCCAGTAAACCATGACTCACAGCATTCTATCTTGACTTTTTTCTAGATTATTTCTGAACTTGAATCCAGTTTTTTTTAACTGAGCTAAGTGGGTTTTCAAGAAAATTCAATCAGATGTCTGTTTATTTTCATTCTGACAGCGTTCACTGACATTGCATAAACAGGTAGTACCTTGCAATTTGACCTCACAAAATTTTGCAATCCTGCAATTAGACAGTCAAATTTGCAGGAGGTTGACTTGCAATTTGACCTCTGCACCAGAATTTGACCTGCTTTGGCGACTTTCTTTGCCTTTTTGTGCTGATATTTCTTAATTTTACAAAGTGGCACAAAATTTGACTGCTTTGCAATTTGACCCTACTCCAGCAATGGATTGAGGTCAAATTGTGAGGTACCATCTTTACAGTACAGTAATAAGAATCCCAAGAAATGTTTTTATTGCATCACAAGGTACATGCATTAGAAATGCTGTTCATGAAATGCAAAACTTAATGAATGGCTTTCAATCTGAATTTTAAAGGTTGTATTCAAATACATTTCAAAAGCTTGGCAAAAATGGATTTTTTGTTGGTTTTGTCCATCATTGCTTGTAGAGGAAAACAGAGAAGTTTATTTTATTGAAGTAATGAATGAACAGAACACGTTATTTGTCACTTTTCAGTATTCACAAGGCACAACCAAGATTCCTGCATCCAAACCCCCTCCACACCCAACCCAAATCCCCTCAAAGACATTCAATCACTTCAAAGCAGGAAACAAAGCAGGAATTAGAGTAAGAATCTTATTCTTACAATTTTTATTGAATTGTGATAAGTAATTTAAAAGCTTGTGATCACAGCATGAGATGAGTGAAGAAACAACAAATTTCTCCTGATTTCAAATACAGTACAGTATTTTTCAATGTGATATAAGTTTTTTTCATTTGAAGCACATAGATGAGTGAAACTTATTCAAGAAACAAATTTGAGATAGATGTCGGTCTGATAATTAAAAGCTTGTTGAATGCTTTATTTCTCCAACTTCGATCCAATCATTAAAATTGTTCATGACTTTCTCCTCGTATTAAACCACTGCGCGGAATCCGACTGCAAGAATCCCCCACATTTATTCGGGATATTCTCTTTTATAATATTCTTATTCCTATTAAAATTACTTACTTCTGGCTTTTTTTAAAATGAACAAGTAGAGGAAGAAGAAGTTGATCTTGGAAAAAGAACTGCAGGAAAGAGAAAACCTGCCTTTCGGTAAGGTGACGAAAGAGATGCTGGCCACCGGACATCCGGTGTCGTCACTTCCGCCTCGGGCCTCTTCACCCACCGCCGTCTCGTGCTTGGCCCGCACACTGACAGTGTAGTCGGTGTTTTGGGCCAGGCCGGACACCGGGTGTCGATAAATGCCGGGCTTGACAGTGCCGACCTCGACGTTGTTGACACGAACGACGTGCGAGAAGTTGCTGT